TGAGAAAAAAATCTTGTGTGAGTGTTCCCAACTCTGACTGTAGATGGTGCTTGGCGGGTGTGTGAGTGACTTCAAGCAGTGTGAAATGAGAGTTATTAGGCTGATTTGAGGCAGGAAGTGTCGGGGGAGTGGGGACTACTTGTCCTTGGGCTAGGTGGGAGGCCAGGCCAGGCCAGGATCTAAATTTGAAGAATGTGCTCGCTGCCCCTGAGCCTCTGGCTGGGAGGCTGGTGTTATTCCCAGGGGGCTGTCTGGGGGTACTCTGGTGGTGGAGGGGTTGCAGCTCTAGTCTTAGCACCCAAGGCTGGTACCCAAACTGTTCCTTGGCTGCTGGCTGCCCAGCCCCAGGAGACTGGCTGTCCAGGGGCAGTCGGGGAGGGAGAGAAGCGAAAGACACTTGGTGTCAGTGGACAAGGCTACCTTCACTGCTCACCTGGGGGGCTCTGAAGTTGTGCAGGGGACAGAGGACCTTACAATTACTGTAAATCATGTTTGCGTCTGCAAAACCCAGCAAGAAATGTAAGATTCTTTTAGACCTTGGCAGAAAAATCCATTTTATCTAGTGCAGTATAAACTGGAAATTCTAACTTGCCATCCCTTATGGGAACCCGGTTGGTCAGCAGTGTGAACCTCTGGTTGGCCAGCACTCCACCAATCAGAACTCCCGATTAGCCATGATTCCACCAATCGGAATCACTGGTTAGTCCCATTCTGTTAAAGAAACTGTTAGCCAGTATTTCCAGGATTATTTAGGGGAGTTATAGTTGAGAGCCTTGGTGGCAGCCCAGTCTCTCAAGAGGAAATGTAGCTTTGTGGTGAAGTCTGTTTTCTGGGACTAAGTCTGCACTATGTTAACCAGCAGCTGATTCCTGAGCTGGGAGGCTGGGCTGATGCACTTGGTGACTCTGGGGACAGGATGAGCAAGCCCCTGCTCCTCCCTGCCTGGGTGCCAGGACCCTTCCTGTTGGAGCTTTGAGGCCTGGGCCACACAGTCCCCTTTGGCCTCCCCAGCTCGTGGGCATCCTGAGGAGAAGGGAGGGGCTGAGGGTTGGCTCCCCAGGGCAGAGAAGTGGCCAGCCCCTGCAAACTGATTTCCCGCTGCGTGCTGAACGGATGAACTGAGCTCTAGCTTCTGCTGGTGAGGGAGTGGGTGGGTCAGAGCTGGAGGCAGTGAGAGCTGGGAAGCGCGGGAGGTTCACTGCACCTGGCCCTGCCCTGCCCGGCTAGCACGGTGCAGTCTTGGGCACATTATTTCATTTTTGCACTGTGTCCCACCCCAGGAAAGGCAGAGCACTTTTTCTGGAGGCCACACACAAGGCTCTGTAAGAAGTGGGCTGTGTGCAGGAACTGTCAGTAGAAAGTGCCATCAGCAGGTGAGGGAGGAGGGCATGGTCTTGGGGGTCTGCAGGCACCTGTTGTGCAGTGGTCTGGCTGCTTGACCTTGGGCATATCCCTTACCCTCCCAGGACTCTTGATTCCTCATTACAACACAACCACCCAACTGGGTGTCATTGGGAGTCAGGGAAAAATTTAAGAGTTCTGTGAATGATCAGACCTAACGTGATGGCAGTGTGTACCACATGCTTGGCCCTTTCACAGAGTCCTTGGCACCTGTCTGTCGGGGTGTCCTCATATCCCTCCTGAAGGGAGTGGTATGCTGTCTTTTCAGGACACCTTTCTTGTCTCTTCTTTAACCCACCCTGCACAGGTGGTCTGGAGGGCACTGCGAGGCTGGGGAGCCTGGGCTCAGTTCTCACCCCCCAGAAGGCGGGCAGGCCGCGGCATATCAGGCCCCTGCTCTGCATCCTGTCCTTCTTTCCACGCAGCTACCCCTGCCAGCCCCACTGTAGGGGCAGGCAAGCTGGGAGAGGTGAGGTGCTCAGAAGTGGGGGAGTCAGGTGTTCAGCTGTCTGACTCTGGAACTGTGTCCCTCCCTGCTCTGAGCCTTAAGACCCATCTGCAAAGTGGGGGTGAGGGCCCTCTTTCCAGCACTGACATTCTAAGGTCCTGTGAAGGACCTGCACCAGGGAGAGGGCCCCAGGCAGGCCCTGGGGTGCTGTCTCTGCACCCCCAGCAGCAGCTGATGTGGAGCCTGCCTCCCGGCTTAGCTCCAGCTGACTGACTACCCTCCCTGTGTGGAGAGCAGGCCAGGGCCCAGGAAGGGGCAAGGATGAGTTTGGCGTCCGAAGGGAGCTGGGGTGAGCCAGAGGGGCCAGGAAAGGCCTTGCGTGTCTCCAGCTGTTGCAGATGTGTCCCCTGCTGGATTTTCAGTCAAACTCCTTCCTGCCTGGGGATGGGCACAGAACCTGGGCACCTCTTTGAGCCCAGGCTTCCCCATCAATGGAATACGATTGTTCAGAGTCCTTTTCTCATTTCTCCAGACCCAGGGGCGTGAGCTCTCTCAGCTCAGGCCTGGACCAGGTCACCCCAGGAAGGCCCCTCTGGAAGGAGCCAGGGCTGTGGCTTTGGGTGGGGCTGGTGGCCTCTTCTAGGAGCCTAGCATCTGGAAGCCATCAGACCAGGAGTAGGGGGGGCAGGCTGCAGGAGAGGCCAGGGAAGGGCGGCATGCCTCCTCCCGGCCACACACAGGCCCACCCCTCGGGAGCCGTCTCTGCCTCCCGCCAGCGCCTCTCGGCCTGTAGCCTCGCCCCCTTCCACTGGCTGCCTTCTCTCTCACCCCACCGGTTGCTGCTCCTGCAAGATGCAGTCACATACTGTGCAGTAGTGCTGCTTGCTGCGTGCTGGGCACCTCACGTCTCTGGCACAGGGTAGTGGGCTTGGGGGAGAACTGTCCCCAGGGGGTTAGCCTGGTGTCCCCTTCCTGGAGTGAGAAGTACCTGTCTTGTCTTTGAAGTCTTAGCTCAGGGTGGCTGGGGCCAGGCAGGGGGCTTATGTAGGACATCATGGCTGGAGATAGGGCTGCGGGGATGGGAAATAAGGAGGGTTGTCTCCTTGGTCCTCAAGCCTGTGAGGCTGAAGGAGGTCTGGGTGCACAGCAAGCTTCTAGGTGTAGGAGCCAGTGTTTCTGATCATCATCTGGGGCCTGCTGCATCAGAATCACAGGGATTCTTGCTCGCCATGTAGATTTCTGGGCCCCATCCAGATCTGCTGGCCAGTGGGGCCAGGACCTGGGGTCTGCATGCTTATTTTGACAGCCAGGCATCCCAGAGCACATGACCCCATTTCCCTCCAGATCTGCCTAGGGTATAGGCACAGACAGATAATGGCATTTTTTTGTAATGGGAGGGATGCAGGTTACCCTTGGGCCCATCTGGAGCTGATCGTAAAGACAGGGGCCCACCGGGGGCAGGACAAGGAGGGCGCTTAGCCTGAGCGTGTCCCTTTCCTCCCCTTTAGTCTTGCAAACATTCCACTGACCCCTGAGACTCAGCGGGACCAGGAGCGGCGGATTCGGCGGGAGATTGCCAACAGCAACGAGCGGAGGCGCATGCAGAGCATCAACGCGGGCTTCCAGTCCCTTAAGACCCTCATCCCCCACACAGATGGAGAGAAGCTCAGCAAGGTGGGTGAGGGCCAGGAGGGCTTCCTGGAGGAGGAGGTGGGCTCAAGCAGGAAGAAGGAGATGAGCTGTGGCAGATGCTGCCCGCTGGGGCCCTGACTTGCCCCCCAACCTGCAGGCAGCCATTCTCCAGCAGACAGCGGAGTACATCTTCTCTCTGGAGCAGGAGAAGACCAGGCTCCTGCAGCAGAACACACAGCTCAAGCGATTCATCCAGGTAGCACCCTGAGAGGCCTCCCCCCCGCGGTGCACTGCCCTCCTGATCCTCCCTGCCCTGGGCATGTCCTGGGCCCAGCCATTGTCTCATCTTCCCCACTGGCCCACCTACTTCAGATGTTGCCTTCCTGCCCAGGCCTCAGTTTACCCATCCATCAAGGGCAGTGGAGTGGGCTCTGAGGGAGTAAGCCTGTTCTGCTCCCCTTTCTGGCCTCTGGCCATTTGTTGGATATGCAGAATGGGCGTCCTAGTGCCAGCACACCTGGATTTGACAGCTTTGGGGGGCTGTGATGGACCCCCCACCTCCCCATTGGAGTGGCTGTGGTGGTATGGGGGTGTCAGGGCACATTCACCTACCGCTTGGGATCCCCAGGAGCTGAGTGGCTCGTCCCCCAAGCGGCGGCGTGCAGAAGACAAGGACGAGGGCATCGGCTCACCAGACATCTGGGAGGACGAGAAGGCAGAGGACTTGAGGCGGGAGATGATCGAGCTGCGGCAGCAGCTGGACAAGGAGCGCTCCGTGCGCATGATGCTGGAGGAGCAGGTGGGGCCGGCGGGCAGGCTGTGGTCTGTCTCTCTTTCCTCCCGCCCCTGCGTCCCGTGAGCGGCTGTTCACAGCACCTGCTTTATGCCAAGCCCAGGAGCAGAGGTCCGGTGGGGGGCAGGCAGGGGGGGTCCCTGCCCTCACAAGTGAGGGGGAGGCTAGTCAAAGACCTTACATGGTGAAAACATGTGACCGAGCTGTGCACCAGTGATGGGCATTGGGAAGGGGGTGCGGCTGGTGGTAGCAGGGCTGCCCCACGGCTTCCCAGGTGGCAGGTGGCTCTGGAGAAGGTGAGGGTACAGGATGGCTGGGAAGACCCTGTTCCTTAAGCCGAGGTTGGGAGGCCAAGTCTCACAGTGAGCCAGGCGAAGGGACTGGCATGGGCGGGGGCCTCGAGGCCAGAGGGAGAGACAGTGTGGGGCAAGGGAGGCTGAGGCAGGGGAAGACGTGAGACACAGCAGGCTTGGTGGCTGTGGGGTGACCTTTGGTCCCCGCCGCTGGGGATTACAGCAGGGGCGAGTGTCTGCGAAGGACGGAGCGGGGCTTGGGGGGCCGATCTCAGCAGTCCGAAGCATCTGAACCAGGGAACTGACCCCGTCCGTTTTGCCCCCAGGTGCGCTCACTGGAGGCCCACATGTACCCGGAGAAGCTCAAGGTGATTGAGTTTGGCGTCCGAAGGGAGCTGGGGTGAGCCAGAGGGGCCAGGAAAGGCCTTGCGTGTCTCCAGCTGTTGCAGATGTGTCCCCTGCTGGATTTTCAGTCAAACTCCTTCCTGCCTGGGGATGGGCACAGAACCTGGGCACCTCTTTGAGCCCAGGCTTCCCCATCAATGGAATACGATTGTTCAGAGTCCTTTTCTCATTTCTCCAGACCCAGGGGCGTGAGCTCTCTCAGCTCAGGCCTGGACCAGGTCACCCCAGGAAGGCCCCTCTGGAAGGAGCCAGGGCTGTGGCTTTGGGTGGGGCTGGTGGCCTCTTCTAGGAGCCTAGCATCTGGAAGCCATCAGACCAGGAGTAGGGGGGGCAGGCTGCAGGAGAGGCCAGGGAAGGGCGGCATGCCTCCTCCCGGCCACACACAGGCCCACCCCTCGGGAGCCGTCTCTGCCTCCCGCCAGCGCCTCTCGGCCTGTAGCCTCGCCCCCTTCCACTGGCTGCCTTCTCTCTCACCCCACCGGTTGCTGCTCCTGCAAGATGCAGTCACATACTGTGCAGTAGTGCTGCTTGCTGCGTGCTGGGCACCTCACGTCTCTGGCACAGGGTAGTGGGCTTGGGGGAGAACTGTCCCCAGGGGGTTAGCCTGGTGTCCCCTTCCTGGAGTGAGAAGTACCTGTCTTGTCTTTGAAGTCTTAGCTCAGGGTGGCTGGGGCCAGGCAGGGGGCTTATGTAGGACATCATGGCTGGAGATAGGGCTGCGGGGATGGGAAATAAGGAGGGTTGTCTCCTTGGTCCTCAAGCCTGTGAGGCTGAAGGAGGTCTGGGTGCACAGCAAGCTTCTAGGTGTAGGAGCCAGTGTTTCTGATCATCATCTGGGGCCTGCTGCATCAGAATCACAGGGATTCTTGCTCGCCATGTAGATTTCTGGGCCCCATCCAGATCTGCTGGCCAGTGGGGCCAGGACCTGGGGTCTGCATGCTTATTTTGACAGCCAGGCATCCCAGAGCACATGACCCCATTTCCCTCCAGATCTGCCTAGGGTATAGGCACAGACAGATAATGGCATTTTTTTGTAATGGGAGGGATGCAGGTTACCCTTGGGCCCATCTGGAGCTGATCGTAAAGACAGGGGCCCACCGGGGGCAGGACAAGGAGGGCGCTTAGCCTGAGCGTGTCCCTTTCCTCCCCTTTAGTCTTGCAAACATTCCACTGACCCCTGAGACTCAGCGGGACCAGGAGCGGCGGATTCGGCGGGAGATTGCCAACAGCAACGAGCGGAGGCGCATGCAGAGCATCAACGCGGGCTTCCAGTCCCTTAAGACCCTCATCCCCCACACAGATGGAGAGAAGCTCAGCAAGGTGGGTGAGGGCCAGGAGGGCTTCCTGGAGGAGGAGGTGGGCTCAAGCAGGAAGAAGGAGATGAGCTGTGGCAGATGCTGCCCGCTGGGGCCCTGACTTGCCCCCCAACCTGCAGGCAGCCATTCTCCAGCAGACAGCGGAGTACATCTTCTCTCTGGAGCAGGAGAAGACCAGGCTCCTGCAGCAGAACACACAGCTCAAGCGATTCATCCAGGTAGCACCCTGAGAGGCCTCCCCCCCGCGGTGCACTGCCCTCCTGATCCTCCCTGCCCTGGGCATGTCCTGGGCCCAGCCATTGTCTCATCTTCCCCACTGGCCCACCTACTTCAGATGTTGCCTTCCTGCCCAGGCCTCAGTTTACCCATCCATCAAGGGCAGTGGAGTGGGCTCTGAGGGAGTAAGCCTGTTCTGCTCCCCTTTCTGGCCTCTGGCCATTTGTTGGATATGCAGAATGGGCGTCCTAGTGCCAGCACACCTGGATTTGACAGCTTTGGGGGGCTGTGATGGACCCCCCACCTCCCCATTGGAGTGGCTGTGGTGGTATGGGGGTGTCAGGGCACATTCACCTACCGCTTGGGATCCCCAGGAGCTGAGTGGCTCGTCCCCCAAGCGGCGGCGTGCAGAAGACAAGGACGAGGGCATCGGCTCACCAGACATCTGGGAGGACGAGAAGGCAGAGGACTTGAGGCGGGAGATGATCGAGCTGCGGCAGCAGCTGGACAAGGAGCGCTCCGTGCGCATGATGCTGGAGGAGCAGGTGGGGCCGGCGGGCAGGCTGTGGTCTGTCTCTCTTTCCTCCCGCCCCTGCGTCCCGTGAGCGGCTGTTCACAGCACCTGCTTTATGCCAAGCCCAGGAGCAGAGGTCCGGTGGGGGGCAGGCAGGGGGGGTCCCTGCCCTCACAAGTGAGGGGGAGGCTAGTCAAAGACCTTACATGGTGAAAACATGTGACCGAGCTGTGCACCAGTGATGGGCATTGGGAAGGGGGTGCGGCTGGTGGTAGCAGGGCTGCCCCACGGCTTCCCAGGTGGCAGGTGGCTCTGGAGAAGGTGAGGGTACAGGATGGCTGGGAAGACCCTGTTCCTTAAGCCGAGGTTGGGAGGCCAAGTCTCACAGTGAGCCAGGCGAAGGGACTGGCATGGGCGGGGGCCTCGAGGCCAGAGGGAGAGACAGTGTGGGGCAAGGGAGGCTGAGGCAGGGGAAGACGTGAGACACAGCAGGCTTGGTGGCTGTGGGGTGACCTTTGGTCCCCGCCGCTGGGGATTACAGCAGGGGCGAGTGTCTGCGAAGGACGGAGCGGGGCTTGGGGGGCCGATCTCAGCAGTCCGAAGCATCTGAACCAGGGAACTGACCCCGTCCGTTTTGCCCCCAGGTGCGCTCACTGGAGGCCCACATGTACCCGGAGAAGCTCAAGGTGATCGCACAGCAGGTGCAACTGCAACAGCAGCAAGAGCAGGTGCGGCTGCTGCACCAGGAGAAGCTGGAGAGGGAGCAGCACCTGCGGACCCAGGTGAGCAGGGCCCTGGGCGGCCGGCGGGGCAGGCAGGGGCCCGCAGCTTGGTACTGCCACTCTGGTGTCCGGGCGTCTTGCACCATTACTGCCTTGATCCCTGCGGCAGCCCTTGGGGCTGGGCTATTGCTGCTCCTGTTGTCCTGACAAGCAGCTGAAGCACAGAAAGGGTACATAACATGTCCAGGAGCCTCCGCACCTGGGGACAGGGATTTGAACACTGGCTGTCTAAAGCCAGAGCATAAACTCCTGCCTACCACTGTGTTTATTAGCTGTTGGAGCACTAGGTTGGCTCTGGAGAGTGAAGGGGCCATGGGATCGCAGGTGGCTGGAAGCCCCTTTCTAGACCACCTTTTCCTCATTTCTTAAAATATGAAATGAATGGAGGAGGGGGATTCACAAACCGGCCAGCCCTGTGTGAGTGAAGGAGGCCCAGGCCTGTGGTGGTGGGCAGAGGGCAATGGTTTCGGAGGGCTGTCCACACCTTCTGTGGTGGCAGAAGGGAAGGGCAGCTCCTGGCCTCTTTGGAGAAGGACTGAGGGCCTCTGTCTCTCAGCTCCTGCCCCCTCCGGCTCCCACCCACCACCCCACGGTGATTGTACCAGCACCACCGCCCCCTCCCTCCCACCACATCAATGTCGTCACCATGGGACCCACCTCCGTCATCAACTCTGTTTCCACATCCCGGCAAAATCTGGACACCATTGTGCAGGTACCTGGGCTCGGGGAGGGGGCAGCATGTGGGGTTGTCCTGTAAGAGGCCCATTGGGGAGATTAGGAATTGGGGGACTGAAGTGGATTGAGCCAGGGCTTGAGCATTGTGGGGAGAGGATCAGGAAGCCAGGTGAGTCTCCATCCCCCAGGTGGCAGGTGGCTCTGGAGAAGGTGAGGGTACAGGATGGCTGGGAAGACCCTGTTCCTTCCCTCCATGTGGGGTTTGCTGGGAGGGTCCTTGGCTCCCAGAGGCCCTGCTTCCTGCATCCAGCTCTTGGGTTGGTCCAGATCTTCTCACCTCCATCTCACAGGACCTGGGATGGGGTGGAAGTGGCACTGGGTGACAGTTAAGCCTCCTACAGAGAAGGAAGACACAGAGGAATCAGCTCTTGTGTGTCAGGCCCAAAGTCACTGCTGTGCCTAGCTGCGGACCGGACCACTCTGGGACACCCAACGATACCACAGAAACGAACACCTGAACCAGAAAGGCCAAACAGGAAAAATACCTGCCAATTCCTGGACTTCAGTTGCACATAAACCCAGCCCACTGTAGAATGAAATATCAGAGACCTTCCAAGGGCAACAGGCAGACTTTGAGATATGTAAATAAATGAAAGAGGCTTGCGATTTCAGGCTGCCCCGCACTGTCCTTTCCCCCCGAGGGCTTCTTCAGCTCAGCAGAGGGGCTCTAGGTGGGCTTCCCCTGCACTCTGGCAGGCTGCCTGCTGCTTGCCAGGCACAGCTCTGGACTTCTCAGGTGTGTGTGGTGGGAGACAGCGGCTGTCCCCGGCCAGCCGTCATTGCAGCCTGTCCCCCTAGGCGATCCAGCACATAGAGGGCACCCAGGAAAGGCAGGACCAGGAGGAGGAGCGGCGGCGAGCGGTCATCGTGAAGCCGGTCCGCGGCTGCCCCGGGGCCCACGCCTCGGATGCCGCCTCTGATTCGGAGGCTTCGGACAGCGATGCCATGGACCAGAGCCGGGAGGAACCAGTGGGGAACGGGGGGCTTCCCTGACCACCCCCAGCCCTCCTCTCCCTTCTGGGGGCTGGAGGGGGCCGGGGGCAGCAACAGGGAGAAACACAGGTGAACGAGTGAGGAATTTTTACAAAATTACGACGTCATTTGGGTCTCTTTTATGACCTCTTTTTCATACTGTAAATCGACCATTGAGTGAAGCCACCCAACCGGAGGTCCCGGGGGCTGGGGTGGCAGGAGTGTGTGGGAGCCCCGGGACACCTGGGGCTGGGCCTCGGCCCCGGAGGCTGGGGGAAGCTGACACTCAGGTGCCTGGCCTTTCTCCGCCAAAAAGCATTTTTTCATTTAAACATGTTTTTAAGAACAGGGAAAATCAAACAAAACCCCAAGGTATTTCTGCCCTCCCCAGAGCCAGCCCTACGACTGTCAGTTTCAACTCCCCTTTCCCTCCTCTGTTTGGTTTTCTTTCCCCCTTTAAGCACTTACACAGGTGGGGGGGTCTGGCTGGGTTGGGGTGCTCTGGGGGTCCGGTTGCTTCTCGGTTGGGGTTTGCTGCTGCCCTTCTCCCCCCCCTCCGACTCGTCTCAGCACTAGGATTGGCCGTTCTCACCACCACCCAGCCCCCACCTCTCCCTCCAGGTTGCCCATCTTCGACCCCAAAATGTCTTTGTCTCTCTCGTTTTGTTTGTTGTTGGTTCTTTTTTGGTTTTGGTTTTGGTTCTGTTTTGTTTTCGTTTTCGTTTTTTACAGTTTTGAGGTCTTTTTGTTCAAGGAGAAGCTATTATATTTTGTTAAGAAAGTGGGGGAAAAAAACCAAGAGGCCACCGTGCCTTTATAAAGAAACAAAATAAAGTTTGTACTTTGTTTTTTAGATTCTGTGTCTTCTGGGTGCGTGCTGTCTTGAGGGACTGGGGAAGGCCTCCTGGGCTGAATACAGGTGTTTTTTGGGCTGCCAGAGGGGACTGGATGTGGTTGAGCATAATGACTCTCCCAACTTGTCTGGTGTTTCCGGGAGAAACAGGGGTCCCAGATTCCCTGGGATTACTCAGAGTAATCTGCAAAGATGGGAGATTGTGGTGGGGATGGGAGATTGTGGTGGGGGTGGGAGGGCTGGCTCCCAACTTCTTGGCAGGAGGCAAGGAGAGAAGGAACAACTAAGCCACAGATTCCTATCTCCTAGAGGAAGGACACAGGATCTTGAAGGGTCTTGGTTGATCCCTAGGCTTTGCTACTTCCTTAGCTTGTGTAACCTCCCTGAACCTCAGTCTCTTCATCTATAAAAAGGAAGGGAGCACTTGAAGTGTGTTTAAGAGTTGGTCGGCAAGATGTCAGTTCGAATTTGGACAAACCCTTGATCGTTGAGCCTCAGTTTCCTCTTCTGCAAGTTGAGAATCATAATGGCTTATTGGGTATGGGTGTGGTCCTTTAATTCCTTACTCATCCATGCTCAGAGACCACATTAAAACATGACCCTCTTGGCCTGCTTCTCCTCATGCTCACAGTATGACAGGTACCTGGGGACTGAGGCCAGAGTGGAGTCGATAAACATCTCACCCACCGAGGAATGCCTCCAGACATGGACTGGTTGAATAGAAATGCAGGCAGGAGCTTTTTTTTTAGATGAAATTCACATAACTTAAAACACTTCATAGTGAACAATTCAGTGGCATTTAGTCCATCTGCAATGTTGTGCAACCATCACCTCTATCTAGTTATGAAACATTCCTATTACTCCAAAATGAACCCCTTGCTCATTCATTGGTCTTTCCCCATTCCTACCTGCCCCTGGCAGCCACCAATCTGCCTTCTGTTTTTAGTGTTTTTAAAAAAGTACAGTTTACATTTAATAAAATTCACACTTTTTGGCTTCTGGTTAAGTTTTGACAAGTGCATACAGTTGTGTAACCATCACCACAATCAAGATACACATTAGTTTCCTTATCTGCAGTGTTCCCTCATGCCCCTCTCAGGTGCACCCAGTCCCTGGCAACCACTGATCTATTTCTCGGTTCCTATATACAAATGGAATCATACACTATTTAGCCTTTTGAGTCTGGCTTCTTTCACTTAGTATCATAACTGTAATTTTTTGTCTTTTTGCGTATACCTAGCTAAATTTGCAGAAGTTAAAAGGAGTGTTTGACGGGAGAGGCTTACCTAGGATTTGGGTGGGGACGGCTCTTCCCAAGGCTCGCAGAGCGACCTCTTTTCGCCAGGTGCAAATTGAGCCTGACGAGTTTCATGGAGCTCCTCAGGGGGGTCAACAGAGGGCGCTGTGGACGCAGGACGCCTGGCCCCCCGAGGCGGAGGCTCCGCCTCCTTCCGGTGCCCGCCCTACGTCTCAGTTCTTGTAGGCCAGAGGCGGAGCTTGGGGATGGTCCCGTGGAATTCCCCGTCTCCCGAACTGCGGTGGCAGCCGGGAGAATGTAGGCGGCCTCCCCAATAGGCGGTGGAAGTCAGGGGTGCGGTCGAGGTCCCGCCCCTTCCCGGACTCGCCCCGCCCTGCCCCCTCAGCGCGCACGCTCCTCGACGCCTCAGGCCATCGCGCGCGCGTTCCCGCCGGCACGCTCTCCTGGCCTCGCCCCTGGCCCCGCCCCCGCGCGCTCACGCACGCCCCGCACGCAGGCGCCGGCGGCTCCCGCGTTCTCTCGCGCGGAGGCGCTCGCGGACTTTCCCGCGTCTGCCGCGCCGGGCCGCGCTGAGCGGCTGGGCTGTGGGACTGTGGCCCGACCGTGGGGCCCGGCGCCAGGCGGGAGGCTGGCGCGTCCACGCGTGACGGACGTGGTCTAGAGGCTGCAGTAGGAAGGAACTGGTGACGTTAATTTTAATAACGTTTAATTTTAACCCACAGTATACGAAATACTGCCATTTCAGCACAGGTAATGAATGTGAGAAATTACGCATGAAATACCTCCTTCTTCCTGCCTGCTGAGCCCGGGAGTCCGGTGCGCCTGTCGCGCTGACTGCATCCACATGGGGATGGCCGCGGACCCTGGGCTTGGCAGCCTTTCCTGGGGACGGTTGCGGGTCCAGCGTCGGCAGCCCTGCGGGGCTGTGCGGTTCCCGGCGGTGGGGACACGGGAGCGGGTCTGGCGGTCAAAAGGGCGCAGTGTCCTGCGGCGGTGGGAACACGAGCCTGGAGGGAGGACGAGTGGGGATGTGGGGTCGAAGAGGACTTCCAAGTCGTGCTGGGAAGCTTGGTTTTTCATGAAAAGGTGCTCAACATCACTAATTATCAGGGAAATGCAAGACAAAACCTCCATGAGATATTACCTCAGACCAGTCAGAATGGTCGTTATCAAAAAGAGAAGAAATAGCAAGTGTTGGCGAGGATGTAGAAAAACGGGAGCCCTTCTACACGGTTGGTTCAAATGTAAACTGGCGCAGCTACCATGGAAAGCAGTACGGAGGTTCCTCAGAAAAGGAAAAATAGAAATAACATAGACCCAATAGTTCCATGCCTGGGAGTTTACTCAAATAAAACAAAACCACTAGTTTGAAAAGATAAATGTACACTATGTCAATTGCAGCATTATTTACAATAGCCAAGATTTGAAAAGCAATCTGAGTGCCCATCAATAACAGATGAATGGATAAAGAAGATGTGGTATATACACAATGGAATATTACTCAGCCATTAATAAAAAGAAATCCTGTCGTTTGCAACAACTTGGATGCACTCAGAAGGTATTAAGCTAGGTGGAATAAGCCAGACGAGAGAAAGACAAACACCGTATGATTTCACTTACACGTGGAATCTAAAACAAAAAACAAATGAACAAACAAAACAAATAGGTTAGTAAACACAGAGAACAGACTGATGGTTGCCGTAGGGGAGCGGAGTGAGGAGGTGGAGGAAATGGGAAACAAAACTTGGATTTTATTTTTTGTGAAGTTCTAGGAGAGAGGTAATCAATGCTGTGTTCCACAAAACCTGTTTTAAAAATCTTACTGAAATACTGTATAATGTACACTCAGAGGAGGAGGCATAGTTTATGTGTTTAGCTTGTGGATTTTCACAAACTGAGTATCTAGCCAGCACCCCACCAAGCCTTCAAGTGGTTTATTTTTTAAAACTTAAAAAACTAAAAAGGAAATAATTAGAGAAATATACAGGGAGGTCCTGGGCACCCTTCCCCTACCTTCCCCCCATGTTCGCATACCTAAGGTCCCAGGTGGAAACCGGGTAATTGCTGTTGGTGCATTCCGCAGGGCTTACTCAGATTTTACCAGCTTTATATACTCTCCTTTATGGGTGTGCTTATATATTTCTTCATCACTTTGCTCAGCAACCTATGAGAATTTGAGTTGCTCCACTTCCTCACAAGCATGTGATATTGTCAGGTTATTATCTTTTTCTTTTTCTTTCTTTAGCCATTTTGATACAAGTGTAGAGTGGAATTTCACCACAGTTTTAATGCCTACCATTTTGGATTAGTTTTGCGTGTTTTAGATCTTCATAACATATCATACAGTATCTATACTCTCTGGGTCTGGATTGTTTTGCTCAACGTAATGAGATTCATTTATGTTTTTGCATGTATCGGCAGGTTGTTCATTTTTATTGCTAAGTATAGTCCATTGTATGAACATATGATAGTTGGAGCCATTCAATCTAAAGATGGACGTTTAGGTTGTTATGAACTTATGGCTGTTATGAATATATTTTAGTAGACACCGTCCCTCGAATTGTTTGTGCCAGTTTTGAAACCCTTCCGCCACTAATGTGTGAGGTGGTAAAGTGTCAGTGGAGAAGACACAACCTATGCATGTGCCATTGATTCTCTTTGGTGGGGGGAGCTGAGGGCAATGGCTTGGCATTTTTGGTTCCTGGTGCCCTCCCCTGTCCTATTTTAAGGGTTTCTGTCAGGGAGAAACCTCATGGAAATACATTTTGCTCTGATGTTCTCAAGGATTGTTATGTTAAGCTGTGTCCTCTTTATGAAGATCTTCAGAAGACATTACTGTCCAGTCTCAGTAGCAGAAATAGTTTCACTTCTCCTAGCTGGTTTGTTCTTATTTCAAGGGCATCGTGAAGTGGCAAGTGATACTGTTACACACATGAGAGGCGCACTGGTGTGTGGTGCTGTTTGCTTTTGTATTGGCCTGACGATTGGCTCTGTTCTGTGCGCCTGCCCTTGTGTGGTTTTCTTCTGTTACTTCCAATTCTTACTTGCTATGCTTTATAAATACTGGGGAGCCATCTTTATGCTTTTCTGGCTCAGGGTGGGTTATAATAATTGTGTCATGATTTGGGGGCATCTTTAGCAGCAGAGCAGCCTTGCCCCAGCTCTGTGAGGTGTTTGAAGGGTTGTCTAGAGAAGGGGGGAGGGGTTCCTGTTACCTGGGCCTCCTTAGTCGTTGGTCGATTAACTAACTGGCTTTAGACCGCTATGTAAAGCACATGCAAATCCCCCAGCCGCTGGGAGGGAGCTGGCCCTGCTGCCCTCAGCCTCAGCTTGTGTCGGCCCTGGCTCCGCCCTGGCCGGGTGGGACCCATCTCACTGGGCTTTCTTTCTGCAGCTGCCTCTGTGCTTCCCTGGATGCCACTCCTAGTGGCACTTGTTTCCATTTTCTCTCGCGTTCCACTTGCCCTCCCTGGGCTGGGGCTGGGGTTGGTACCATCCCCTGCCTTGGTCCCGCCCCTCTCTTGCCCTGAGTTGCAAGTTTCTTAGGTTGACTGATGTGAGCGGGTGCTGTCCAGGAGGGTGGGCTAGGGCTGGGGGGCAGCTGCAGCCCTAAATCTGGCAGCTGTAGGAAGGAACGCGCTCCCTAAGCTGGCTCTGCCCCCACCACACCCCTGGTGCTGAAAAGAAGCTAGGAGTGACAGCTGCAGAGTTTCCTGAATTAGGGGGCCTAAGTCCCAGGTTCCC